ATGTCTGGCGTGCTATCCTTGAACGACCGAGTATATGGTGACGATAATGATGGTGACGAGGGATATGCTAATGATGATGATGATGATGATGATGATGATGATGATGGTGATGGTGATGGTGATGGTGATGGTGATGGTGATGGTGATGGTGATGGTGATGGTGATGGTGATGGTGATGGTGATGGCGGGTGTGGTGGTTTGGGTGGTAATGGTGCTGATGATGATTGTGGTAGTGGTGATGATGATGATGATGATGATGACGATGCTGATTTTGTTGTTGATAATGAGGGTGATAGCGAAGTTGATGATGACGATTCTGCTGATGATAACGGTGGTGGTGATGGTGATGGGGATGATGATGATGATGATGATGCGGATTACGATGATGATGATGATGGTGATAATGATGATAATGATGATGATGACGGTGACGATGATGATGATGATGATGATGATGATGTTGATGGTATTGATGTTGATTGTGGTGGAGATGTTGAAGATGACGATGATGCTTATGATGAGGGCGCTGATGATGATCACGAGGAGGAGGCGGAGGCTGATGATGATGCTGATGATGATGATGATGGTGGTGGTGGTGGTGAGGGTGGTGGTGATGATGATGATGATGATGGCGATGCTGATGATGGTGATGATGTCGTGGTTGTTGATGATTATGGAGGTGGTGCTGATGATGGTGATACTGATGATTGTGTTGGTGGTTTTTTTATGATGATATTTATGATAATGATGATGGTAATGGTGGTGGTTTTGGTGATAATGATGGTGATGGCGGTTGTGACGACGATGATGGTGACGACGTTTTTGTATGTTGGTGTTGGTGATGATGTTGATGATGATGATGCTGATGGTGACGACGACGGTGATGATGATGACGAATATGATGCTATGGCGGTGATGATGATGATGATGATGAAGACGACGATGGTGATGTTGAGCAAGATTGTGATGCTGATGATGGTGATGGGGATGACCATGATAATACTGATGATGGCGATGATGATGCTGTTGCTGCTGCTCAGGATGGTGTGGATGACGATGATAACGGTGATGGTGATGATGGTGATGCTGATGGTGATCATGATGATGATGATGATGATGATGATGATGATGATGATGATGATGATGATGATGATGATGATGATGATGATGATGATGATGATGATGATGATTCGGAGGAGGAGGAAGAGGAGGAGGAGGACGACGACGAAGAGGCGGAGGAGGACGACGACGACAAAGAGGAGGAGGAGGAGGAGGAGGATAAAGGGCGAAGAGGAGGAGGAGTAGGAGGAGGAGGAGAAGGAGAAAGGAGAGGGGATGGACTGAGGGAGGGAGGGGGGAGGAGGAGGAGGAGGAGGAGGAGGAGGAGGAGGAGGAGGAGGAGGTGGACCCGACTAAACCCGAGATGCATCAACGATGCTTCAATACGCCCTCCCTTTCTGAGTCCCTATCCCATGAGGCACATACAGGAATTCCTTTTCGCTGCGGGAAGTGCTTCCTTGAAAAGAGCGTCCCATGGCCTTGCAATTCAGTCGAGAGCCCAGTTTTTACAGGAGCTGCCGCCCACGCTTCGAGCTGTAAGGGCGGTGGCGAGGTAGGCCCGTATCATCTAAGGAAGTCTCTATCGAGAGCCCCGCATTGGAACAGAACCGCATTCAATGCGTCCACATGTTCACAGTCCCATGCGTCTGGCAAGAACGCCACCGGATATATCAAACGAGGGCCCCGACTGATAAAACAAGATCGCCCTCCACCCGTGTAACTGTTGCACAGACTCAACTGTCGGACCATAAGGCTGCATGTAACATCAAACGAAAGGACCGCTATGACATGGAAACGCATTCCATCCCTGAATTTGCTGGGCTATGATCGGACGAATGTGCGAGGCGATAAGGAACCACATTCTGAAAACACCCCCTCGTCATGCGCATAACCTTTGCCATAGCGTAAGGCGAAGATACGCTGCGCTAAGCGCTGAGAGGGGATCCACATGTTGAGCACGATTCGCCCTCCGTCCGTGTAACTGTTGGAAGTGTGGAAGACGAATGTGCGCGGCGGTAAGGCGAGAGCCACATTTTGAAAGCAATGCCCCCTTTCCGCGTGTAACCGATAGAGCAGGTTGGAGCCAATTCGCGCGGCGTTAAGGCGAGAGCACATGTTGAAACCCACCCACCCACCCCTCCATCCGCGTGACTGTTGGAGGCATTGAAGGCCAATGTGCGCCGCGCCCAAGGCGGTAGCAACGATTCATTAACCTTCATCCATGTGAGTGTTGGAAGGTTTAGTAAAGACGAGTGTGCATGGCGTGGCGAGAGCCGCAGGTTGAAAGCGACCTCCTTCCATCCGTGCAAATGTTTAAAAAGGCAAACTATGTTGTTACCAACTGGGAGGAAGTCCCATGCGGAACACCCCGCCAGCCCACCTGACACGTCTGGTGGCATCTGGTGGCCAGACGCGGAGGAGGTAGCTACGTGAAAGGAAAGCGGGTGGATGAGGATGGGTGGGGGGAGGAAGGCGAAGGAGGGGGAGGGAGGAGGCAGGAGGAGGAGGAGGAGGAAGAGGAGGAGGAGGAGGAGGAGAAGGAGGAGGAGGACGGAGAGGAGGAGGAGGAGGAGGATGAGGAGGAGGCGAAAGAGGAGAAGGCGGAAGTGGAAGAGGAGGACGAGGAGGATAGGATGAGGCGGAGGAGGATGAGGAGGAGGAGGAGGCGAAAGAGGAGGAGGAGGAGGAGAAGAAGGAGGAGGAGGGGCGAGAAGTGGGAAAGGGGAAGGAGGGGGGAGGAGGGAGAAGGGATGCGGAGCGGGAGGAGGGAGGGCGGAGGACGAGGATGACGAGGAAGAATGATAGGAGGTACGTATGGGTGAGAAGGGGACGAGGAGGAGGAGGATCTAGACAGGGAGAGATGAGGAAGAGGACAACGAGCGAGGGAGGAAAGAAGGACAGACGGCGGCAGAGGAGTAGGGAAAGCAGGATGCTGATACTGATGTTGATGATGATGATGAGGATGATGATGCTGCTGATGATGCTGATGAAACTCATGAGCTGATGATGATGATGATGATGATGCTGATGATGATAGATAACATGATCACGCTGATGATGGAGATGCAGATGGAGGTGATGATGGTGATGATGATGTGTGGTGGTAATCATGGATGATGATGGCGATGATGATGATAACAATGATGATAACGATGATGATGCTGCTGATGATGAATATGCTGATGTTGATGCTGATACTGCTGGCGCTGCTGTTGCTGCTGCTGGTGATGATGCTGGTGATGCTGATAATGCTGATGACCATGCTGATGATGATGATGCTGATGATGATGATGATCATGATGGTAATGACGATGATGATGCTGCTGATGATGATGGAGGTGCTGATGGAGATGGTGGTGATGATGATGATGATGATGCTGGTGATGATGGTGGTGATGGTGATGATGGTGTTGATGATGATGATGCTGATGCTGACGATGACGGTGATGATGCATAAGAATAGTATGATGATGTTGATGGTGATGATGATGAGGCGGTGGTGGTGATGGTGGTGCTGGTGATGATGATGATGATGATGATGATGATGATGATGATGATGATGATGATGATGATGATGATGATGATGATGATGATGATGATGATGATGAGGTGCACGAGGAAGATACGGAGGGTTAACAATGAGGAGAGGGTGGCGTACGTAGGAGTCAGGAAGGATGGGGTCGGAGGTGAGAGGCAGGGACATCTCAGTTCCTTCCGTTATCTTCCCTTCTCTTCCTCCTCCCATCCTGGCCTCCATCCACGCGTCTACCGTTCCCTGCCTCGCGTCGGCCACGCCACTCTCTCGGCTATGGTCGGTCCGCGCCGTGTCGACGCAGCAGCGACCTCAGCGCAGGCTTTCAAGGTTGATCGCCGCCAGTGCCCAGAATCGGGTGGCATGGAGCGACCTGCGCGATCGCAGGGCCGCGGTCGTTCGAGGCTGAGAGTTCCTCGCGGTGTTTGGAAGATCAGAGCACCAGTCGTCACGGCACGCGCCTGCCATGTCTCTGCCCCCACCCCAACCGCCCTTTGCCCTCTGTTCCTCCCGATGGGTGACGCGGAGGGCCCACCGCACGAATCGGCCCACTCCCACCGCGCCAGAGTCGTGCCCTGCCCTGAGATCTCGAGGAGTGGTGAATGTGGACACGTGCCCGCCCGCACGGGCGGGGAGAGATCCAGATTCACCGCTCCCCGAGTCCCCGGCATTCCAGGACACGACCCCGCTGCAGTGGATGTGGACGTCTCTCCTCCTCCTCCTCCTCCTCCTCCTTCTCCTCCTCCTCCTCCTCCTCCTCCTCCTCCTCCTCCTCCTCCTCCTCCTCCTCCTCCTCCCCCTCCTCCTGGGCGGCACGGCAGGGGGAGCAAACAGGGGCCTGCCACGGAGGCGGGGTACACCACGCCGATCCTCAAGGGCTTCCAGCGCACGGAGCTGCTGGTGGCCGGCGGCAAGGCCGCGGCCACGCTGCTCCTCCTGGCCGCGGCTGTTTCATTCATCCTGCCCCGTGCTTCCTCCTTCGCTTCTGCTCATGACTCGCATGCGCACGCGTTCCTCATTTCTCGTCCCCTTCCACTCTCCTCTTGCCCACGGCCTCTCTCCCTTCTCCTCCCCCTCCTCCTCCTCCTCGCCCTCCTCCTCCCCGAATTATCACTCCTACGCCACCTTCTCGTTTCTCCCATCCGTCCTCTGGCTTGTTTAAAATCTCTCTCTCTCTCTCTCTCTCTCTCTCTCTCTCTCCCTCCCTCCCTCCCTCTCCTCTCTCTCCTTCTCATCTCTCTCTATTGCTTTCTCTTCGTGTGTGTATGCAGGTCTGTCTCCCTTTCCTCCAGCGGCAAGGCCACCGTCACCTTTGCCCTCTCCCAGCGGGACCTCTCGCACTGGGACACGGAGAAGGGCGACTGGGTCGCCGTAGCCCAGGTCCCGCGGGAGATGGATGGGGAAGCAACGGAGGAGAGAGGATGGGCGAGAGAGTTGGAGGAGGAGGAGGAGGAGGAGGGACAGAGGGGGATAATTATGTTGCCGATGATGACGATGACGATGATGATGATGATGATGATGATGATGATGATGATGATGATGATGATGATGATGATGATGATGATGATGATGATGATGATGATGATGATGATGATGATGATGATGATGATGATGGTGATGGAGATGATTGTGATGAGGATGATGACTGTGATGATGCTGAGGATATTGAGCATGATGATGGTCGTGATGACGGTGGTGGTGGTGATGACGTCCATGATGCTTACGAGTATGATGTCGGTGACGCTTGTGGCGCTGGTGATGATGTTGTTGATGATGATGTTGCAGATGCCGATTGTGATGTTGGTGCGATGACGGTGGCGATGATGCTGATGGTGTCATGCTGCTCAAGAGGATGCTGAACATGAATATTCAGATATGGATATGGATGAGGAGCAGGATGGTGATGAGAAGTAGGAGTTATAATATGGTGATCGGATGAAAAGAGGGTGTGGATGGGCGTGGCAGCCAAGCGCACTCCTGTTCCCAGACCTCCGTCCACTCCATGTCTTCCCTTGGTCATTCTCCTTCTCCTCCTCCTCCTCTTCCTAACCCTAATCCTCCTCCTCCTCCTCCTCCCCCTCCTCCCCCTCCTCCTCCATCTCTTCCGCCGCGTCTTTCCTCCTCCTTCTCCTTCTCCTCCTCGGCCGCCCTCCTCATCCCTCCGCCTCCTCCCTCCTCCCACCCGCCCAATTCCTCTTCACTCGTTCCTCCTCCGTCTCTTCCTCCCGCCCCAGCCCGTCTTTTGTCCACTCCTCCTATGAAAATCTTCAACCGTTCTCCCATCATGCTCCCCCGCCCCATCCTCACTACTCGCCTCCATTTCCTCCGATATCTTTCTCCCGCCTATCTCTCCACCCCTTCCTGCCCGCTCTGTCCGGAGCGGAGGAGGAGGAGGAGGAGGAGGACGAGGAGGAGGAGGAAGAGGGCCGACTAGGAGGAGGAAGAGGAGGACCAGGGTGGAGGAGAAACGAGGAGGAACAGAGAGACGAAGGGGGAGGAGGCAGGGAAAGGAGGAGAAATGAGAGGAGGAGGATGGGGAGGATGAGGAGGATGAGGAGGAGGAAGAGGAGGAGGAGGAGGGGAGGAGGAGGAGGAGGAGGAGGAGGAGTGGAGGAGGAGGCGGAAGGGCACCATTGGAGGAGGAAGCAAGAAAAGGAAGAGGAGGGGGATGAGGAGGAGGAGGAGGCACGTCCCCGCCCTCGAAGGTGACCGCGCACATCGGCGAGTCCTCGGGGGACATCCGGCAGACGCTTCCCGATTTGGACGTCGCGGGGGCGATCGTCGTCGCCGCCGTCGTCGCTGGTTTCCGTCGTCGCCGCCGCCGTTGCCGCCGCCGCCGTCGTCCTCATCTCCGCGTCCGTCGCCGCAACCGTCGTCGCCGCCCTCGTCCTGTCGTCGCCGTCCGCGTCGTCCTGCTCGTCGTCGTCGGTAGACAACGGCATATGTAGGTATCAGTGTTCCGACATTTTGATTCGTGCAGAGGTTGGGGCCGAGCCGTGTGAAGTTGCGTGGTCGGAGCTCCGCGCTGATTTTTGTTGGATCTGCGCTGGGACCCCCCCCGCGGCGCCCCCAGCGCCACATAGCGCCACTCCTGGCGCGCTCCGCGCGCCAGGGAACGGGGGTGCAGCGGATGCAAGGAATCCGCGCGGACCTCCGAACGTGTATGTGTATGCATAGTGGTGTCTTCTTCGATCCGCCTTCAAACTGACATGGGAGCTCATGCGATGACTCACGAGTCGTCGGATCTACCGGATCGGCCTCCCTCCGGGAGTTCCCGCGACGTTGGGCAGCTGGCCCGTCGGAGCGCCTGCTGCCTCGAGGCTCGAGCGCGGCTCTGCCCCGAAGCGGTTCTGCGTGGCTGGCCGAGGGGCTCCGCTGGGCCATGCACGCACACGGGTCGCCCGGCGATGCAGGAACAACTTGACACGCACATACACACACACACACACACCCACACGCACGCGCACACGCACACACACACAGACACACACACACACACACACACGCACACACACGCACACCCACGCATACACACACATACACACACATCGGCAGGGGACGCCGTGATCTGGGATGCCGCATCTGCGATTTGTGGTCACTGGATGGTGGTCGTAGCCAGTCGACGCAGGCCGTCGTCTTGGGAGGAGGAGGAGGAGGAGGAGGAGGAGGAGGAGGAGGAGCGTGGTACGGTAATCCGCGCTAGGCCGCTCGAAACCGCCACGTGTTGGGGTGTTGGGTGCGGTGCCCGTGTTGCTCACCGAGCCCCGCTCAAAGACAGGCCGCGTGATGGTGGTCCACTCCACTCGTGTCCGAATGGCACACTCTTGATGGTCCCTTTTCCTCCTCCCTCCCTTCCTCCCCCCGTCTGGGCGAGGAACATGGATAATGCGGGTGGGTGGGTGGGTGGAGAAGCGAGGGGCAGGCGGAAATGGGGATGGGGGGGGGGGGCGAATGGGGGCGAGCAGGCAGAGGAGGGCAAACCCAGGTTGCGCCAGCGATGCTGCAGAACACCGTCCCGTCCAAAGTCCCCTCCCATAATCCCCCTTCCACTGCGGGAAGTGTCCTCCTTGAGTGACGAGCGCTCGGTGGGCTAGTCACTCAGACCAGACCTCGTTGTTTTGTCAACAGGCTCCACCGCCTACCTGCCAGCTCAAGGAAGCGCAAATAGGTAGGGTGATACAAGGTCGAGGAAGTGTCCAACGACAGCGCAGTCTTGAGAAAGATCTGCCCTCCATCTGTGTACGAGTTACCCAAATTTAGTAAACGCTCTGGGCATGAATCTTGCGGAGTTCTGCAAGCGAGAGCCCCATTTGGAAAAGGAGCCGCCCTCCATAAGGAGCCGCCCTCCATCTGTGCATCGAGTCGAGCGCACGATTTGGAACTTCGGGCCATCGAGTTTGGTAAAGTGTCTATCGACAATGTTGAAAGCTACCCGGCATCCATATTTATAGCTGTTTGAAGTTCGTTAAAGACGTATGTTCGCGGCGCTAAGGCAAAAGAGGTATTTTGAAAGTCAACGGCCCTTCATCCTTGTAGTTGATTGGAGCATTTACCACAAGTGTGCACGGCGCTGAGGCGAGAACCGCAATTGCGAAGGCCTTACGGCTGGTGCTGCCGACCCTGAAGGGGGACAACGACGACGACGGCGACGACGACGACGACGACGACAGCGGCGGCGGCGGCGACGACGACGACGCTGACGTGGGTCAGAGTCCTCAGGGATGCTGTTTGCGGTCTCTTCGGAGCGCTCTCGGAGGCCTCTGGGGGGCAGTGTAGGGCCTCTAGGGAGCATCTTGGGAGCCTCTTGGCAGCCTCTTGGGAGCCTTTCGAGGCTTCCTGGGGGCCTTTGGGGGCCTCTTGGGGCCGCCTCCTGGGACCCTCTCGGGGCCGAGTGCTCGAAATGTCCGTTCGGTTCCCCCGTCAGGGCACCCTGTCGGAGACTACTGGGGCGCCGGCGGCCTCTTGGGAGTCTCGTGGAGAATTCTTGGGGACTTCTTCGGGCTCCCTGGACCGCGCGGGGGGGAAGCGTATCTGGGTGGCCCCCCCAGGGACCCCCCGGGACCCGGGATCCCCCCCCCCCGGGGGAAGGAATCAAAGGGAAGGGGCTTCCCTTCGACTCCACCGACGTTCCTCAATTTCGCTTTGGATGGCGTGCTTGAGGAGGAGGGCCCAGAGAAATGGAACGGAGGACGACGGAGACGACGACTCGAACGGAGAAACCCGACTCGAACGGGGAAGCCCCTCGCACACGCCGACAGGGCAGGCGGATTTGGGACTACTGGCCTCCAGCCTTGTAATTAGCGGCCATAAAAGTTAAGATCGAATCTGCGCGGCATTTGAGCGAGAGCCGCCTTGGGGACACCACCAGCTCTCCACCTTTGCATTTGCTGGAAGCATCCAAATCTATGCGTGGAGCGAAGGCGAGAGCCGCATTTTGGAAACCACTGCCCTTCGAGATTCTTAGCTTCGGAGTCTATGTTTAATCTCTATCAGGCGAAACCTGATCCAGCCTACGGGCACGTCTGGGAGATGAGGAGCAGCAAGATGGAGGAAATATAGGACAACGTAGTGAAACGAAAGATGAGGAGAAAGAGGAGGAGGAGGAGAAGGTGGGGGAGCAGGAGGGAGAGAGCATCATGGGAGCAGGATTTGCGCGCGACGACGGAAACGACGAGGGAGCAGGAGGATGACAAAGGAGTGCGACGAGAAGGAATGGAGAGGAGGGGGGAGACGGAGGAAGGAGGAAAGGGGAACTCGGAGGAAGGAGGAAGGAGTAGGAGCAGGAGGAGGAGGAAGGAAGAAAGGAAGCAGGGAGGAGGAGAAGGAAGAGGAGGAAGAGGGGAGAAATAAGCAGGAGTAGAAGGAGGAGGAGGAGGAGGAGGAGGAGGAGGAGTTGACAGAGGATGCGGAGGAGTTGTGGGAGGAGGGGGAGGAGGAGATGAAGGAGGGAGTAGGAGGAGGAGGAGGAGGAAGAGTCGGAGGAGTTGTAGTAGCAGTAGTAGTAGTAGTCTTCGTCGTCGTCGTTGTCGTCGCTGTCGTCGTGGTAGGAGCCGTCAAAAGTAGTAGTACTAGTACTAGTACTACTTGTAGTAGTAGTAGTAGTAGTAGTCGTCGTCGTCGTCGTCGTCGTCGTCGTCGTCGTCGTCGTCGTCGTCGTCGCCGTCGTCGTCGTCGGAGTCGTTGTCGTTGTCGTAGTCGTAGCCGTTTTCGTAGTCGTACTCGTAGTCGTAGTAGTAGTAGTAGTAGTAGTAGTAGTAGTAGTAGTAGTAGTAGTAGTAGTAGTAGTAGTAGTAGTAGTAGTAGTAGTAGTAGTAGTACTAGTAGTAGTAGTAGTAGTAGGAGTAGTAGTAGTAGTAGTAGTGTGTAGTGAGGAGTTGACAGAGGATGCGGAGGAGTTGTGGGAGGAGG